AACGCAAAAACATTTCAAATGTTTAATATTCAGGTTTAGTTTTTTCTAAAAATAAAAACAAAACAAAAGCATTTTTGATGAATGCATAAACAATTGAAAATTCAAGCCTCAACGCCCACATGTATATTGTTCAGTTTTTCATATTATTTATACATTCTTAAACACGAATAAACATCATAAATAACAAATATTTCAGGAAAAATGTCAATTTTATTTTGGAGACTTCGGTACGACTAAAATTAACATTTTTATAATTGTTAATATACATTTGACCAAATTCATTTCAACAAAAGATAACATGAAGTCTTATTTTTCATATTCTTAATTTACTATGATAAAAAGCTTGCTAATTACTTATCCATTGTCAAGGTGGGCGTTGGTGTACCTGTCAGTTGCTATACTCTTTGTTTATTGGTGATATCTCTTTTTATGACGACAACATTATTCTTATCTATGCTGTTTGTACTCCCGAACCTCACAGGCACACCTTTTTTCAGTGACCAATGGTTAAAAAAACTGTCAGATCAAACTCAACACCAGGAAATCCCAATAAACCACCTTCACCCTCAGTCGAATCGCTATACCTCAAAGAGCCTAGTACAGCCTTACTTCCAAGTATTCTTCTTGCCAAAAATGTCACCTGTAATCAATAATTTAAGCTGTAGCTGAATCTAGACTTTATAGAATTTATCGCCTCCTTCTGTTTATCGACGTGGCGCAAGCTTTCGACCAGGTCTGTCATGATGGGGTGGCGTGTAAATCCAAAGGCTTCCTTAACCTATTACCTGATCCTAAAGTACTACCTTGCCTTGGTAATGTTCTTTTTTCCAATCCGTTACTTAATATAGAGAAATCCTCCACCATAATATAGATCATCATCCATAATCACTCCAATACTTCCTTGCCTGTACATATTTACAGATGACAATGCAATCCTGTCGACGCACAATGATCCTTGTTTGTCGTCCTTCTCGCCTTACCGTTCATGATCTTTTGGCTAAAGAATTGGAGGATGAAGTAAATGCCAGTACATAAACTTCACAATACGCCGAGCAATCCTACTTCCTATTTACTTAAACCGGGTTCCTCCCTGATATCCAGATTATCCCTTAACACTAAAAGACTAATCTCAAACACACTAATCACACTGGCATGGACTTACTGTATGGAATGTATAGGGCTCAGCTAAAGAATCCAACTCCTATTGAACCCAAACCTTCGAGTCGAGAACCCTCAGATACAACAAATTCCAATCCTCATTCACTGGACTACCCAATCCCGTAGTAACCCATGTACCCTCAGACACACTTACTGATAGTCCACAACCCAGACTAAAACGCTGATGGCTTCCTATCAACTCGATTGATGTCGGGTGACAAGTGGATACTTAGGTTTACTATTTCGGAGTGTCACTACTGAGTGACAGTTTTAAATTTCAAATAAAAAGAAAAAACTACGTCTTGACAAGCGACTGACCTGAAATCATAGAAGACTAAAATCCTCAATATAGATGAACACTGAGGCCAATATAGATAAACAATTGTTTAATCAAACCTTCTAATCTCCGCAGATCCCGACCATATAATCACGAATCTTTAGATCCATCCATTGTCCTTTATAAAAAAAGTTGCAATTCAACTTCTAACATAACTAGTAAAACTTAAGTAACCTAACGACAAAAACTTTCCTTACAATATTTTTAAAAAAATCCTCGACATTTAAAACGACGGTGGCCCCTTGGTTCTGAAAGAAAGTGATTAAAACGTATTAATGATTTAGCAGAGCTATCACTAGATTATTTAAATCTCTATGTGCTATGTAATCTTTGTAACTTAGCTCGATTTAAAAAAATCTGAAATTCGATCCTGCATTCATTTGTATCTTTATATTCAAATAGCAGACACCCTGGACCAAACCTCATCAATGCCAGTAAAACAAGTGTTTTGAGAGCTCGGAATGATTTTGATGGCAGTAATAATAAATCGTTTTGGTGAAACTCTAGAATTAAAAATTAATCATATATTGTATTTCAAGAATTGAAAATATTACTTACCAAATGTTCATATAAACATACAGAAAGAAAGAGAGAGTTTTTAGTGATAATGATAATGATGTTATAGTGTTCCTACGTGATTTCATATTAATTTCATTAGGTTTCGTGGTCCGATTGGCCAAATAACATCTTTCAATTAATTAATTTTTATGTAAGGTATTGGTTGAGATAAAAAAGTCAGTGTTACGAGCGGGATTCGAACCCACGAACTTTGAACCCATCTCAACCTAATTGAAAAATGGTAAAAAGGAGGGAAAATTCGAAAGGTGGGGTCGAGATGGGAAGTTAGTGTCCGAGTGGATCGAAGTCACGATAGCTCAAGTGGTAGAGCAGTGGCCTATTTAGTCGAAGGTCGTGGGTTCGAATCCCGCTCGTGACATTGATTTTTTTATCTCAACCAATACCTTACATTATTTTATTTTATATATTTTCTTTCTGGAAATGGGCATGCTTGAAAAATCAAACAAATGTAATACTGTTTTAACCGTTCTACCTGTATCTTCACAAACTAAATGTAAATGTCCGCGATTGATTCCTCTTTTTTTATACTGGTTAGGTATTAGCCATAGAGTGCTCCCAACGGGGATGACTGATTCCTTTCATTTATTTATGAATCGTCGACGGAGAAAATAGTTTGGCCCTGTGGAGAAATACTTGTCACGGCCCGTGTGTAATCGAAAACGTGACACTCATGAAAATAAACTGGCCTCTAATTGGTAACCGGGCAGGGCGAGATTAGAGGATCACCCAAGTTTCCTGACCGGTAATGAGAATATCTTGTCTGGGGGAGGTCGAAACAGTTCCGTTCATTGTTCCGCCGCCCCAGCTTCCACTTTCCCCAGATTCCGCCAACTGTTCCGCAAATGTTAATCTGTCTTTCCCCGTTTGGAAATTTAATTCATCAAAGCGTGGGAGCATTGTGCTCGCCGCCACACACCGTCGCGTACGTCGGCTTTTTGTCATGCAATTTGAACCAGTCCGAACGTCTCTCCCACGTATTTTTATAGAGTATGCTTTTTGCAAATAGGGTGCCGAGGGTGGGACTGTCAAGAGATGAGGGGTAGGACGAAACATGGACACATAATACAATAATTTCAAAGGTTTTAAGTAAATTGAGCGTTTTAGTTGCTGTTTTAATTATTTGCTGTTTAATATCAGCAAATAATTAACAAAAGAAATTCATTAGAATTCTTATTAAAGAAAGATAAAAATTATTTTAATCCATATTTGCTTAGTGGTCATAACTGACGTTATTAATTATTCCAAATAATTATTCTTTTCATTTCAACCAAAAACCGTAGATAAAAAGTATAATTAATTGGAATAAAAATTATTAATTACCGTGTAAAGGCATTGAAACCTAGTTTGTCTAGGATTGACTACAATTTAAAAGGGTCTGTCGAACACATGTTTACTTAATATAATTAGCATAGCTATTTGTTATTTTTTGAAATATCAAAACTGGCCAAATTTTAATTAGTTAAACAGCGCTTACTGCTTGTAAATTATATCGCTGTCTGTCTGACTACTCATTTTTATGCATTGTTCTGTTACTAAGATAAATCCTATTATCAATATCTTAGAATGTTTTATCCACATTTATGTACGTTTCTGTTAACTTTTTGTTTTTTTGGTTAACTACTCGTTGACTCTCGCTCTTTCTCTCTCTCTCTCTCTCGCTCTTTTTCTAATCACTCTCTCCTTTGCTTTCTCTAACTTTGCCCAATCTATCTCGCTCTTTCTCACTATCAAATACGTATGTCCCTATTTTTCTAACTTATAGTCGTTCTATTTCATGTTTTCTTTCCATCGATATGAATCTCTCTATTCTCACCCTGTACTCTCTGTCGATCTTTCAATCACTTTATCTCTCTCTCACATTCTCCCTTCGTGTCTCTGTCACTTTCCCACTCTCTCAGTGACAGTCTTAAATCTCTCTCTCTCTCTCTCTCTCGATCGCTCTTTTTCTCACTTTAGTTTTCACTCCATATGTCATTTATTATCTATTCATTCTTGTTATGTGGTCGAAAGTTTCACGAGACCTAAGCTGCGTGGTAAAATGAACAAAACATGTTATTTCTCTTTCGTACTTTTTCTTTCTCCCTCCCACTTTCTTTACTGACTCCTGACTCTTTATCTTTCTCTCTCTGTCACTGTCCATCTACTTTTACTTGATCTCACTTCATTAACCTTTTTTCTACTTCTCGTACTCATTCTCTTTCTTACTATCATTTTTTGCTCTCTTTTCTCTCTCTTTCTCTCTCTTCTCTCTCTTCTCTCTCTTCTCTCTCTTCTCTCTCTTCTCTCTCTTCTCTCTCTCTCTTCTCTCTCTTCTCTCTCTCTCTCTCTCTCTCTCTCTCTCTCTCTCTTCTCTCTCTGGGAGTTAAGAATGAGAGATTTTCCAACAATATTACAACACAAAGTGAAACACGTACTGCAATAGATTTTTATTTCACTTTAATGTATAAATGTTTGGGTCCTTCATTAAACCTAGATTGTCTAAAGAAATGAAAATTACTCCTAAATATCCCATGAAACGCTGTAATGGAAATAGTAATTATTTTAAGCAATTTTTAAGCAGACGCCCGGCCCTGTGATATTCTTTTATTCCCTCTCCCTGTTTATAAATTATTTAAGGGCGTTTTAAATATGTATCCGCTTTCCGGAGTGAGCTCCTTTTCCTCCTTTTTCATATATTATTCAATTTGTTCCCGCTTCACTAACCCGACATTCGACCCATCCGGTAATGTTCCTCTTGCGATCAATTGTGCCCCCGACGGTTTATTTCGAATAAAGATGGCCATTTCAGCCGCAAATGGCTTTTTTCTAATACCATTTCCATCTCGCCTTTTATATAAAACATTGTCTTTATGGTTTGTTTTAAACTATTTTTTTTAGCTTTAACAGTTTTTGATTCGGAATTGTCAATTGGGTTTTATATTTGCAGAAGCGACGATCTGGTTGGATGATGGACGTCCTCGAGATGAAGTGGTTGATTAAATCCACGGCGTCAAATCGATGACAGGCCCATCGAAGCATCACCTACCACTTTCTCAACCGGGGAGCAACTTTTAAATGAGGTGAGTGATCCATTGCAAATGAGCTTCAACGCCGGGAGAGGCTTTTAAGCCGAAATAGTTCCAAGGAGGGAATAATACTGACTTAATGTTGGAAATTTAATTCAGCAGATCGGGCATTCGGTTTCTATTTAAATAATCTTCTTTTTTCTTTCTCACTCGAGGGAGCTTTGAAATTGAAATAAACACACTTCTTTTTTTTATGTTTATCATATATACAAAAGAGCCGTTTCACTGGCCGTCCTTTTAAACAAACTTCTTGGTCCGTTGTGGAAATTTGTCCCTTATTCAAAAAAATACCTGATCCGTTACACAAGAATAATAGAACTCGTCAGGAGAAACGATAACCGAAATTGCCATTGTTCACCATATAACGACCTAACAATACCAAACCGAGCCGGCTTCACCCTTCTCTTCTAAATACACAATAATACAACAGTTTAAAAAGGATAAATTCTGGAATTTGTAATGGCAAATACTAATAACTACTAAAATCCTATAAAATAATAATAATAATATAATATCGAACTTTATGTATTTGAAAGAATCTCATTGTATAAAAATCATCCCGCACTGGAACATAATTACAATTGCATTATTAAATGTAGTAAAATTAACGACCTCATCAAGTTATACAGTCTTAGTACGGAAATACCCTTCCAACAGCTTGTAGCCGGTTTGTTAAGTGTGCTTCTGGGAGCTGTTTGCTTGATGTTTGCGGTGGAATTTATTTTGTATTATCTGAACCGTATTAATTTGAAAGTGGGATGATTAATTCCAGGGAGAAAGGGCGTAAATGACAAGGGTTACCAAATAAATACCGTCGACTTAAACCGACTGACTGTACTGTTCCAGATGTTTGCGATCATATCGTTGAAATTCTAATGCTATCGGAATAATTAATTACAAACATATTTATAATTGGTACTATTTAATGCAATAAACTGTTGGAAATGGAAACAGTGCTTTATTGGTGGTGATCAGGTACTTTCCAACTATTGCACAACGTTATATTATTTTTATTATTGTTATTATTATTAGAAGGAAAGAGAGGGATTCATAAAGAGATGTAGAATGACGGAAAGAGTGAGAAGAGGGAGAGAGATTGAGAGAGAGAGAGAGAGAGAGAGAGAGAGAGAGAGAGAGAGAGATTGAAAGAGAGANTAAACAAACAATATCATTTGGAAGAGGATTAATAAGTGTTGACATTCATACAAATGAGTAATCCTGTAAACGTAAACAGAATATTTTATATAGATTTTTTTTAATGAAAACTTAAAATCCTGCATTATTTTCCGGACAACCCAATATATATGAATAGAAGGTAAAAAGACAGTGAAGGTGAGAATGAAGAGATTCTTGAGATAGTTGTGAGCTTTTATTATTTTTACGGTTTAAATGAAAAAAAAATACATTCCGCAAGTAAAAGACACTTTTATGATGTAGGCCAAAAATAACAGCAGATTCCCAAAATTTCCCTTAAGTTGATTTAATATTAGATAAAATCTGTGGTGTTTAGTGACCGTTAGTTAATAATTATTTGGAGATCGTGAGATGCGGTCTGGTGTAACGTAGGTTTTAGAAAAACATTTTCTTTATCGTGCCAGGTTCTGAAGATGATCTCAGTAAGGATCGAAACGTTGGCACGATAAAAAAAATTTTCTCTTAAACATACCTCACACCAGACCGAATCTCACGATCTCCAAATAATCATTAGGTAAAATATATTTGTATAATTGTTATTTTGAGGAAAATTTAAAACTGGTTATATTATTTAGAAAAATTACATTTGAACTAGTTAACTGTAATTTGAAATACGCAGCAATTCCAATGAACTATCATGCATGGTGCTGAAATCTTACGAGCTTTCGGAAATAATAATTTCGATTTATGTCCATATGAAAAGTTGTCCATTGATCGAAAAAAAAAAATACACTATTGCTCTTAAAACGGATTTTATTTGGAATAAAACAAGACTGCAGTTCAAATTGGCTAAAATTTTGAAATCTTTTTCTACAAGTATTATCTTACCGGACTAAACTCATCACAATATTAAAAATTAATTTGTATTAAAATTTATCGTAAATGAATAATAATGGTTAAGGTTTATTTACAAATCCGTTGTATTTATAGTGTGTTTGCAGAGGTAAATTTTGTATAGAGTTTGGATGAAAAATATGGATATCTTCCTTGTTGTTATATAAAGATCATAAGATAATCTTAAAATCTCTAAATGTAATTTTAAAGTATGTCATTATTGTTAAAACTTTAAATTTGATTATTGTTTTGTTTCATCATAAACTTCAACTGATGAATATAACATAAAACTGTTGCTATTTACACATTTCCGGCCTATAGAGAAAGGGTGCTGGATGTTCCGCCTAGTTGTGTGGAATTCTTTGGCCCCGTATAGACAGACAGCTTGTATTAATGGCGATAACAGAATTGTACTTGAGCAGAGCAGCGGGCATCTGGGAACCCTGTTCTGATTTTAGGAGAAAACAGGGTCGTTTTATATATAACTGATAGTTTTGTGTCCTTAGTGTGTTGAGAGTGAATATATTTATTAGCGTGAATGTGAAGTGTGAGTAGGTCGATGGCAGAATTTTGAGTACTCCACTAAGTGAGTGAATGGTATGTAAATAAGAAAGAATATGTTTAAGATTGAGTTATAGAGAGACTGGGGTTGGTTTTAGGAACGTTATGTGCTGAACTGACGTAGTTGGTAGCCCTCAGAGTGCTACCTCGATGGCTGGACGGATAAGATCGAGGTCTGATCCCGGCCTGCCAAAACCCGAGGTGGGTGATTCTCAAGGCCTACCAGTAATTTATTATAAATTAAAAAGCTTGGATTGAAGTGGACAAGGAGGCTCAACACACATCTATGTATATGTGTGTGCAGATTTGAGCTTATTCAAATCAGTAATAAGTTTTTTTATGCATTAAATAACAATAAAGTATGGCGATGAATAATACTACAATAAGGTGTGCCACAGATAACAGTGATAAAATAAAACGTAAGCCTATTAGGTTTGAATATATCTTTAATAACGGGTTTTATCGACTCAGCGGTGCAGGGGAGCGAGAGAAAAAAAATCATAAAACACGCTTTTCCACATGGTAAAAGAGAGGATTTTTCCATTTGCCGCGGGTTCGGCCTGTATACGCGGTGGTGAACTCCGTAAAGGGCGGGGTTGAAAGGGGTCAAAAGGACATGTTTCGCGCTGAGGATTTCAATGTATTTGTGTAGTATATGTAGTATCGACCTGGAGTCTGACGTCTCTAATGAACGGGCGGAGCTGTCCAAGCAGGAGTGCCGTTCTCTGTTCACCTGTCTCCCTCCATTACTCGACATATGAAAATTAAATAACCCTTTCCAGCCCCGTCCCCTTCCCCCCATTATCAAATCACGGCGGCCAATTTTCGTTTAATTTGCTTCCTCCTCCAATTCAATTCTGCAATGAGAAATACTTTTCGATATTTTTCTATAACATATGATTGAAAGAATCGGAGAAATCGATCGCTTCATTAATACAAAAACTTTAGTGTAATGCTTAGTTTCCTTTAATGGACAAATTAAAATTTACTTACTTTAACTATTCATATACCCAATGACTTAAAAATATAAAAAATATTTTTTTTAGTATTTGGCGCTTTTTTTAACTTTTAACGTTTTAGTATTTAATCTCGTTTGATACAATGCTTAATTACAATTAAATTATTCAATCTTTGCATACAGTTTGTGCAGAAAGATTAACAGTTGCATGATGTTTGGAGTAGGATTTTAGAAGGGTTGGTGGAACTTCATTTGACATTCCCTTTGACCTATGCCCAAATTTTTTTAGGCCGGCTAACAGCAAAGGCCATTCCACATGTGATTAAAATATAAGTGATTAAAATACACATTCAGGCTATTTAAAAGATTACCTAACCTAAACTGATCTAAATTTGGCGGATTCCAAGAGTAGTCGATATGCTAAGACCCTAAACTTCACTAACTTTATTACAGTGATTTTCACCTTAACCCCCTCCCTTCATTCACTGCATTAAATACATTAACACACAGGAAAAAATCACGCATTTAAGAAGAAGATATTCTGGAGCTTGAAGAATTGAATAACAAAACTAAATGATAGAGATCTTGCCCCGTGCCCAACACAAATAGAAAAGAACAATGAAAAAGTTAAAAAATTAAGTTAATGTAGTGTATAAATGTGTGGTGTTTAGTCACCGTTAGTCAATGATTATTTGGAGGTCGTGAGATGCGGTGTGGTGTGACGTAGATTTTAGAAAAACATTTTCCTTATCGTGCCAACGTTTCGGTCTTTATTGAGATCATCTTCAGAGCCTGGGGTTTATAAACATTGTTTAAATTACAATTGCATGTAGGATGTGGAAAAAATTGAATTTGTACAATGGTAGAAATTTTCGATTCAAAGTATTTGTACTCAAAGTGTTTGTTTTCTGTGTAGCTGTGTCATTCTTGTGTGTCGTGTCGAGAGTGCCAGTGAGATATTGCTGTTTTATGTCTATATACGTTGGATTTTGAAGGGGTGGGGAAGGAAGTCCGGATAAAAAGACATTTTACATGAGGAGTAGGCTTCTTTGAGGTGAAAGGACAATGGGCAAAAATAGGTAATGAGTCGGCCTGATTCCTTTCAGGATTATATAAACGGGGATACTACTCTAATATCATTAAACAAATTCAATATCGATAACGTACATACATCATCATCACATCACACAAAACATATAATATAACATATAAAACAATCATCACATTCCTCACATCAAACATTTCTACATAGTCTAATACTTCAACAATTTGGCTTTCCTTTCCCTAATTATCTCCGTCTGTATAATCCTGAAAAATAATCAGGCCGAACAATTAGCCATTTTTCGACTCCATAAAAATGTCTTTCTATTCCGACTTCTTTCCCCACTCTTCAACATCCAAGTATATAAACATAAAACATCAATATCTATCTGACACCCTCAACACG